TTGATAAAAGAACGCCTTCAATTGAACTTTTTAATAAGCTAAATTGGCTGCCTTTGTCGAAACAGTCTCTTATAAAAAGAACATCTATAACTTTTAAAAGAGTAAATACAGATTATGTTATCCCTGAATATTTAAGCACTATATATATATATATATATATATATATATATATATATATATATATATATATATATATATATATATATATATATATATATATATATATATAGTGCTCAATACCATATAGATAGAGCGTAATATAGTTTTTCGTTTTACCTCAAAAAACCACAACAGTCTGTTTCATCCGTATAGGAATCATCAGGTGAAACAGACTGTTGTGGTTTTTTGAGGTAAAACGAAAAAATATATATATATATATATATATATATATATATATATATATATATATATATATATATATATATATATATATATATATATATATATATATATATATATATATATATATATATATATATATATATATATGCTAGTAAGGAACTCAGATATTCATACTATAGAAATACTCGCTTTAATAATATGAACATGGTGTGCCCAAAATACACTAGAGAGACTGAAGGTGGGCGCACTTTCACCGTTAGAACTATTAAATATTGGAACGCCCTCGATGTTACATTGCGCATGCGCAAACAGAAATGTATATCTACGTTTAAACGCAGCTTGTATACTAAAATTTTAACGGACCAGAAGTCCGCCATGCGTTTAGAAATTGCTTAGGTGGGTGATGGGTTATTTTATTTGTAAATATAGTAGTTTTAGAGTTTTTATAAGTTTTAGTATTGTATTCAACCTCGTACCCAGGGCTTTTTGCTTCCTTGTTCGGATGGTCAGCGAAAAAGGCCCTGGCATCGGCTGGTCTGTTTTGCAATCTGATTGGTCAATGATTTTGAATATAATTATTCAATATACGGGGGAAATAATTATTATTTTGGTGAAACGAGAGTGGAGTGACAAATTTATCATTAGTTCTTGAAGGACTAAAGTATTGAGTAAATTAAAATTAAGTCTTTGTACAGTTATACAGACGAGTATTTGATTCGTTTCAACGTACATTTCTCACATGCGTTGTTTATACATCCACGTCGATTTCAAGGAACGTACAGCGTTATACTTATAGTCAGTGTTGTAACGAGTCGAGTCATTGACTCTGACTCGAGTCAACTCGAGTCGCTATTTTCAGCGACTCGACTCGACTCGAGTCCAATACGAAAAATGACTCGACTCGACTCGAGTCAACAGCCCCAAATGACTCGACTCGGACTCGACTTGCTGAATTTGCCGTAAATGACTCGAGTCAACTCAGCTACAACTTGTACAGAGTAAATTCATCACAATTATTGTGATTGTATTGCTTGGGAAGAACAATGAGCCCTGTAACCAATGAGAACTTTGAAACTTTATCAGAAAATATATGGGATTTGCATAGAATATATTCCTGACGGGCATACCTATATTACATTTCTGTTTTTAGAAACAACGCTAGTGCCACAGTTTTTTAAAATTAAGTCTCAAAATATTTTGTACTTATACTAATTCTGACAGGCTATTTTCATTTTTGGTATTTATGAAGGGCTATATAATTTCAAATCAACTTACAAAGCGTTGTTAATTAAAGTCTATTCTTTGTTAATTCTGACTCCAGTTGCAAGTTTTGCTAGTTGTATGTACGTACACTCGATCAGCAGGTATGATGAGACATCTCACGTGGTTGACTGGAACTGTGATATTGGCACAGCCTATAGCTGCCCAGATACTGTTATTAATTTAAATGACTAAAGTAATTAGTTTAAAACGCAAATTTGATTACTAATTTCCGACAGCAAGCTAGGGTAGCTCAAGTAAAGTCTAGAAATTGACTCGACTCGACTTAAATCAGTGACTCGACTTGACTCGAGTGAAGCCGCTGACTCGACTCGACTCGAGTGAAGCCACTGACTCGACTCGACTCGATCAAAAACTGAAATGACTCGACTCGACTCGTGACTCGACCTTTGAGTGACTCGACTCGACTCGTGACTCGACCTGTAGGTGACTCGTTACAACACTGCTTATAGTCAAAGATTGTGATACGAATATATTTGCTCATAACACGATTTATATAAAACAAACGGCAAACGCTGAAGCGGTTTTGTTTTGTTTGGTTGTTCATTAAGAATTGAGCAAGAATTGATCGGGCTATGTTGTTGAATGAGGTGTAAACAACGAAAACCGAATAAAGTTAACTTATTTCGTTGCTTTCCCTTTGATTATATATACGCAGCATTGAGTTTGTTTACTCCTGTCAGTAATTACAATGTATATCATTATTCTATATACGTACTTATACGCATAAGTTATCATAATTGAACACCCCAAATACTGGAGATTTTGAAGTCATGTGACCGGCCGATGCCAGGGCCATTTTCGCTGACCGGAAGCAAAATGCCCTGGGTACGAGGTTGTATTGTATTAGCTTAATTGTAGTTATGTAAGGAGGGCCACGAATTTATCAGTAGTTCACACTTACTGTCAAGTGTTTACCCTCATGAAATAAAGTCTGAATGAATGAAAATGAATAAAGCAAAATACAGTTACTGAAAAAAAAACACAACATTCGCGTGATAGCGAATATCTTTATATCTCCAAATTACGGAAAATTATCAATTATTTTAAAATGCTTTTAGCTTTTGACAAAAAATAGATTAAAGAGTATAATTGCTTATAGTAGACAAGCTGTCTGTATATTTACAATATCTCTCCTTGAGAGACCGAATTCAAATGATTCTAAAAAGAACCTCTTTGTTCTAAATCACATGCAGCTTGTTGTCTTGTTAGGCGACGGGCAGGGTTGCAGAATCATAATGTGAATTATGGCTTTTAGTTTTCAAATTGGAAAATATATCAATCATGTCATTAAAAATCGGCTTCTTACTCCTATTTTCTACTGACTAGTTTGTCAGTAGCGTAACAACCCTTGTGGTTGGGCGAAGCGAACGGCAATGGCGTGAGATTCCAAAATTTGAAATCTAGACAACCGGAAATGCGATTTGAACATAGATATCTTATATACACTAGATAGCGCATCTCTTTTAGTAAAATTGAAGCCAAGAATATTCCAGCGGTTACCCCCATTTGAATAGATGGCGGCCATGTTGGTCGTTCCCACTTGTTAATAAACGCTTAAAAACAACAATAACTTTCGTCATTTGAATAGTTTAAAAACGTATTTGGAATAGGTTTAACTTAATGTTTAAGTTCCCTGTTTAAGAAATAGAAAACATACGAATCTTCTCATTTCATGGGAACGACCTGAGACTGCAATCACGGCTTCAATCTTTGAATTACAGAATAATTAGATGCACTATCTAGTGTATATAAGATATCTATGGATTTCAAGCACTTTAGGCGTGAAATTTTGCAGAATTCTGAGGATTATAAAGTACATCAAGGACCAGATAATTCTCTTCGGATCTAAATTAATTGCATAGAAATGTCACCTTGGAAAAGGAGTCCGTGTCAGCTTATTTTTATTTTCCTTCTGTGGGTGATGCCGGTGGTGTGTGTGGAGGGGGGGGAGAAGATCCCAATGTGATTTTGATCGGAAATTTTGCATTTAGATAATTCTATGAGACGCATTCTCAAAATTGCTTTTCATAAGATACAGAATAAATTTGAGAAAAAAGATTCAATGTTATGATAATGATATACATGCCTATTTAACAGGTGAAAATCTAAACTAAATTCATTCTTCTTGGAATCATGTATACAAATGCTTTAACGAGATTTGACACATCAAGCTCCTACAGTAAATCGTCGTTGTCTTAGGGGGAGGCTTAGTCAGTTTTAGTTTCGAGAATGTAACGTGTATCTCCCCTCCCTTCCCCCCAATGTCTCTATGGATTTAGACTTTTTGAGAGAATGGTTTTTGTGACGATTGGGGGGGGGGGGAGGCGGTTGCCCCTCCTCGGCTACGCCACTGGTCTCACGGATAAGTAACTTTCCTAAAACATTGCTATTGGTTAGTTGGGCCAAAAATACATTGTACGCACGTGACGGTGAAGGACCGGATTTATAAATAAACGTTGGCAAACATAGATGATTAGTTATATTGTTATTCTAATGAGTTTCACAGCCATCTTCCCTTCGATAGGCTATGGTTTGGCTTTGCGTGCATTCAGAGTTAAACCTCATGTCAGAAAGTCAATAGCAAAATGGCTCTACCAAAAGCGAGCTTGTGTAACGGTTCTATACTCTTACTTCTTTTTGTCACATGTGTTTGTGTGTATTGCGGCCCAACAGAGCAAAGCCTTCGAAACAATGAGTCCGGTCCATTAAAGCCGACTAATCTCAACGATCGAGGATCGTTTCACCATGAAAGGTTTCGCCGAGACTCGTCTGATGCTGTTACAAAGTGTTCCGACTCTCAATGTTTTGGGAATAAGACCACATTTTTTACCTATCCTTTCGGTTGCTACTGCGACGAAGCTTGCTATAAAATTTTCTCTGATTGTTGTCCAGATTATGAGAAGCAATGCGGTCGACAGCAATTGCTCGAGGGCAAAACGTCAGTATGGAAATGTGTCGAATTTGATCTGAAGAATTGGGGCTGTGGCATGTTACTAGAAGCGAGTGGGGTTTGGATGATTTCTAAATGTCCAGCAGACCGGCGTCGTGACGAGCTAAGAACAAAATGTGAAAATAACACGCTGTCGTTTTTCGGGTATCCGGTAGAGGACTTTATTCCGGTGGTTGGAGAAAAAAACGAGACATATCGGAATAAATATTGTGCTCTGTGTAATGGCGTAGAAAATCACACTTCATGGGAAGTTGAGGCTTTTACATACGTCATACCCCCCGATGAGTTCGACCTGCATTCTAAGCTGAAGTTTATCGAAGAATATGGGGGTCGGATTAAGAGTGTTCTACCTGGTCGGGGACAACCTTGGAGATTCTGTTTTGGAAGAAATTTTAAAGACAACTGTAGTTCCACAAATCATTCACTTTACAAGACTTGTGTTGAAGGTCCCGTTGAAGTCGTTGGGATTTATGAAGGCTATTACTTTAAAAACCGTGCGTGCGCAAAATGTAATGGATATCATAATATCGACTCTTATGCTATAGACACAAGGTGCGATGGGCCACAACCCCCTCGCCCCGACCCTGAAGGATTTTCCATCGTATTTAACTTAAGAAAAGCGAATGAAATATCAACAATTACTTCTGCTTGTCCCCTCGATACTGTTTATGATACAACCTTAAAGTTCTGTCGCGAAGGGAATGTTTTTTCATCCAGTGGTCAACTGACCAGCGAGTTTTTGATCATATTATGGTTCAAACTGTCTCGAGGATGGATAGCAATTCATCCAACCGTCGAAAATTATTTTAAATTAGCATTAATTTCACGGTTTTCGCTTCAAGAAAATCAAATTTCAACAATTACATTCCACATGCAAAACCATGAACCACCGCCGTATGATTTTGTCGTTGCAACATTTCGTTTAACATTGACGCCATTTCAAAGCTTACTAACGGCTAACCAACACAGGTCCATAGTTAATGTTACAAACCAGAACACTGCCTTTTTGGAACTTTTGAACTTTACAGGAAACTTTGCTTTATCTTGGAAAGAAACTACTTTTATTGTGGTCAAGATGACTTCGAAACAGCTTTCATGCTATGACGAAAAGAAATTTCAATCACATGAATACAAAATCGATAAAGAAAATGGAAACTTGGTCGTAAATAAAACAGGAAAAATATTTTTACTTGAGGATTATACTTTAATTAAAGAAGAAAGTGGAAATATTAAATTATGTCGCAAACTGCTGCTTTCAGATTGCAACGAAGGTGCATTTGTGCCTTTAAGTCCAGACGAATACGTGGTCTTCCCTAATTTGACAGTTTATCACAATGCGACAGAGAGCATTTTCAATTTTGGCGAGTATCTAATAAGTGAAAACAAAGGGACTAGCACCATTCAGAATTCTATTTTATCAAGTAATTTAACGATTTCTGTTTGTTTACCGTTTAAAGATACCTTAACCAAAACTGTAAAATACAGTGCGAACACGGCAAGTTACGCGCTACGGACTCTGTCATTAATTGGTTTCAGTGTTTCGATTATTTGCTTATTTTTACTATTGATAACTTATGGATTATTCCAAGAATTATGGACAGTCTCAGGGATGAGCTTAATGAACTTAAGCTTGTCATTGTTGCTATCACATTTCATATGGTTGACAGGCACGGGGACAAAAACATGTAGAGTTTCGTCGATTTTTGAACACTATTTTTTCCAAGTATCGTTTCTAGCAATGTCCGTCATCTCGTACCATTCCCCTTACGTTTTCTTACAACCTTTCTCTGGAAGGTTTGCCTACAAAACTTGCAGGAGGTTGATGATGTATTCAGCATTCGTGTGGTTAGCGTCTGCCATATTTGTCGCAATTTGTGTCACCTTGGACAAAACTGAAACAGTCCTGGTGGACTGTGGGACAAACTGTTGGTTGGGAAATGTATACGCTAGGCTGTATTTATTCTTACTTCCCCTGGCTATATTACTGCTCTGTAATATCGTCACTTTCATCCGTACAGCACTCAGTTTATATCGTCATGAGAAGGAAAGACCCCGGACCTTACAACGCCAAGAAAGAAAACGAAATCTTCTCATCTGCGCAAAAAAACTTGCAACGCTGGTCGGATTTCCATGGCTTATTGCGTTTATTGGCGTGCTGTTTCCCGCTGTCGAAGCATTCGAATACTTGTTTGTTATTTTTGTTTGTTTACAAGGATTGTACATCGGAATGGCGTTTCTGTTTAACAAGAAAACTCTGAAACTTTACAAAGATCGGTGAAACATTGGTTGCAGAGGAAATTCATCTTCTTATACTCCTGCGCAAACTTTTGAAATGACATAAGGAACAGTGGTATATCAAGTAACGAAGTAAATGTACTTCGTTACTGTACTTGAATACTATTTTTGAGAAGTGAGCATGTAACAAAGTAAACTTTTTCTGGAGTACTTTTACTTGGAACGAAGTCGTTTTAAGAAGTAACGTTTTACTTCGTTATATTCATTTTGTGGCGAAGTATTTCGTTACTTTCTAACTTTTCTCTAATTTTACGTAATTTATTCCCAATTTATTTACTTTTGTGATACATAGGTAATAGGACCACTACGTAAGAGTTAGATACCGAAAACGGAGGCTCTTAGTCAGATACAAACCCGAGGGGCCGTAGGCCCCGAGGGATTTATCTGACTAAGAGCCGACGTTTGAGGTATCTAACTAACTTAGTTCATATTTGTAAGGATTGACCCACAATGAAATTTACTTTATGATATGTATTGTTCTTTAAATGAGTTTGAATTACCATGGTTGTAATAAAAACTAGAGGGCACTCAGAGACTGCATACCTCCGCCCGTTACTCGGAAGTGAAAGGCAACCTTGGAATTTCCTAAGAAATCCACTTTACAATTCTTAAGCATAAAAGATTTCAGGCCCCCGCGAATTGAAATCGAATTGCTAATAGAACATATTACTGTTGTTGTGCTCTACAGTACTTGTAAAATAAAAACTTATTAAGTGTCATTAAATAAATGCATAAATTTTGCTTCATGCACTCGCACGTGCAGTAATTTTCACAGTTGTGCTATTTTAAATTCCCAGGCAGCTAAAATCTTTTGTCTTTAAAACAATGTCGATTTCTTGGGAAATTCCGAGGTTGCGTTCTTTTTATACACCCTGTATTGAAGTAATCTAATGTTGTTAGAATTTGAATGGACTGGCACTTTGCTGAACGTAATAATACGTAACTCCGTAAGCCTTGTTTTAGACATTGAATTTCGGTCGCGTGAAATGCAACTAAGACAATAGATAATGAAGGCCGAAGCTTAATGAGGTTTATCATCTCATTATTGTCTTAGCACTGAGTGCATAAATTATACATGTCCTAATTACGCATTCAGTAATATTTTTTGTTAATTGACCGGGAAAAGCAAGACAAAATTTTGTTCATTTCTCGTTCAATTTTTAACCAAATTCAACCAAATTTTAATCAGTTCTTCCTTAGCCGATGGGAAATGCATTCAAAAAATTTCGTACGGATATGTTTGGTATTTCTTGAGTTATCGTGCTCACAGACAAACACACACACATACACACACACACACATACACACACACATACACATACACATACACACACACATACACACACACATGCACACACACATACAAACCCAGATGATTACATAACCTCCTGGCGGAGGTAAAAACAGGGCTATTTTGATATGCATCAATTCTCGTGTCGCACTACTGTATACTATCAATGAGAAGTGATTAAATATTCGTTCACCAACCACAATTACGATGAAATATGTTTGAAATAGCTCATACAACCGAGAAGAGCTAACGAAGATTTGTACGGGTTTGTCGAAGCAGAGATTCTCAAGTTGTTCTCAACAGGGTTTTATTTGCAGAATAAAAACCAAATGGGAGGTCTTTCATTGAAATTCAAGACCGAGGCGTGCAGCACCGAGGCTTGAATTTCAATGAAAGACCGACAATTTTCTATTGTCCTTGGGAGGTTGTGGGACGAAATAAGGTTGAACATGCGCATTAAACACGCTTTAATGTGGTTGAGCATGCGTAGTATATCATTTCGCGTCCCACAAGCGAAAGAGCAGATATTACTGTATAAATTCCTTGCACAAGCAAGTTTGATGGTCGGTTCAGCTAGTCCTCGTGCACCGAATGATAAATATTCTACCCAAAGGTAGAGTTTGACGGGCTTTGAGGTACACGGCTGGTTGTCTCTTTCTCGACTCAGAGACGTGCAGCGTTTTCTAGTCGAAAAGGAGATGTGGGGTTTGAGTTTGGTTAAAAATTCAAGGTATTTAACTCCATAGTGACCTCCAAAAGGGGTCACTATGGAGTTAGATACCTTGCATTTTTAATTAGGCATTCAATTCTATTCATCAACCCCGCTTTTCCCTGTGGAGATATCAAATCCCTCCCCTTGCTTTTAGATTCTTACCCAAATAAAACCCTATTGAGAACAATAGATATCCGCACAAATATGAACTAAATGCGTTTGGGATCTCTCTTTGGGACTTATTTATAAGCATTATTTATTTAATGGATTTCTTATATCTTCAGCGGGGTCTGGAAAGTAGACCATGCTGTGAAATGTTCTATATTTATAAAGCGTGTGCTGTTTTGTGTTTTTTTTGTATCTCAATCCATGAATGGAGAGGTATCCCACCCCACCCCCACCTCCCCTACACTCTACAGACAATAGTTCTTTTACTTTGTACTTCAAGTATTTTTTAAGGATACTTTGTACTTTTTACTTAAGTACGTTTTGCCTCCAGTACTTTTTACTCTTACTCAAGTCGTTTTATTATACAATTACTTTATGGTTTCCGTGTTTGGATGGCCTGATCCAAACACGCGGGAATGTTGCGAGAGTTAAGAAAAGCGAGCGAAATCACGAGCCGAAGGCGAGTGATTTTGTCCGCTTTTCTTAACTCGAGCAACATTCCCAAGTGTTTGGATCAGTCCATCCAAACACGGAAACCATAAAGTAATTGTTTTATAAAATAACAACAACACGGTAGTCTTCCGTGTTTGGATGGCCTGATCCAAACACGGCTTTCGACCAATCAGAATACGCGTTATATACATGTTATTTTATAATGTTAATTACTTCTACTTTTACTCCAGTATAAATTCAAAGTAATTTATGCACCACTGATAAGGAAATGAGTGTATTACAGTCAAAATACAAAAACTAACCCAGGTTCGCATTACTATAGTTGTCATTTTCTGTTTTGTTTTACTGTATAACGACTATACCAAATTATTAGCAAATACCGCGATAAAATTAAATTTTCCTTGTTTTTATACGAAAATATGTAACAAAGAATGCATTTTTTGGTATATTTCCTACATGTTGTGAAATCAAATTTTTAATCTCGTTGCATGTATATTTCCTTATAAATCTGTAATATAACCGTTATACAGTAATACGGAATAAATTAAGGTAAATGCATGACCTCGGACTACAAATTAAAGCGAAAGTGGCAATATAAAGACCTGTTCACAATGAAACTGCTAAGCAAGACGTCTAGCTTGCATGAAGTAAATTTTAGTATAAACAACTTCGCTGTATTTTAATCAGTTTTACGCATTTGTGACCCCAAACGAAGTTATATGCATCTGTTTATATTCGGTGTCTGTTAGTTTGTTAGTTTGTTCAGTACCGTAATCCATTGTAGTTATTCAAAAATATTATAACGTGTCAGAGGTTTTATCTTTCACTGTTAATATTTAATTAGAAGTGTATAATAGTTGCAATAAACCTCGATAACCGCTGTAATACTAAGTTGTCTGCGGCCATCCTCGCGCAGAAAATTTTTATCCAGCACATTTTCATTCCGCCTTTTCGCAAACAGCTGTCAAATAAGTGGAGTATATTCTGACTCTTCCACAGTCCCTCATCCGTTGTCCGTACGCGCGGTTGCGCAGATTCTATCGCTTTCCCAAATTGATTTGGTCAAAACAGCCGACGAATTGGTTATAATAACCCAATTTTTGTTGCATGCCCAAATATGTAGGGCATGCAACTTTCATATAGCTCTTAATTTCGTGTTGCGTTGTACCGGCGGTGGTATTCAATCAAAATGTTTTGTCAATGGATAATAATAATAAAAAAATAATAATAATTTATTAAAAACCAATATTGCAGCAATAGCTGAATTACATTGGATGATACAAATCTACATATCTACGAATCTACATATTAAATTGATGCACAGATGCAGGAATAAAAGAATTTCTAAATCTATTAGAGGATGATTCCAGCCGACTAAATATAGCCCTATGAAGTTCGCAAATTTTGTGTGTATATTTGTATTTATTTGTATAACCACTTTTGGCTTGAAAATGGTTATTATTCCAGCGCGTAATGCAAATATATATACAAGAATTGCGAACTTCACAGGGCTATACATTTTCCTCATTTTACAACAATTCGCAAGCAAACTTTAAGATGCTCTTTCCAGCTCTGGTAATGGATTGCGTTCTTCTTGTCCAAATCAAAATTTCGTCTGCAGCTGAAATCATCCGTTGTAAAGGGAAAAAAAGTACTTGATCGTTGGTTTCATTTTTCATGTTGCCAATATGTTGTCAACACGCCATTAAAATATGTTAATACGTTATGTTTTGGCTCAAAAGTGTTGAAGGAAATATCTTATTTTATAAGAGATAAAATTAAGAATTTTCCGGGGACGGGGATTTTGGTGGAAGTGGGTGAGTGCATGCAGGGTCTATCAGAGAAAGTCGGGGGCCCGGGGCAATTTTTTTTCTTCCGGGGGCCCTATTTTTTTCAAAAAAATATTGGCGAAAAAATTTTTTCTGGACATTAAAAAAAGGGTAAAAAAAATTATTGCAGACTAACATCAGTTAAGGTTCAAAAATTTTTTCTGGACAAATTCTTGTTAAACTACAATGGTAAAACACTTTTTTGTACCAATATCTGCAAAATTTAGGTTTAGAAATTTTTTTCTCAGCCCATTAATTTTTTCAAAAAACGTTTCAAACTTTTTTTTATTTTATTTTCCAAATTTGGAGGTCCCCCTTACACTGGGGGCTCGGGGCAAATTGCCCCCTCTGCCCCCCCCCCCTATGATAGGCCTGAGTGCATGTTCTACTTATAAAACTCAGTCTTCTTTCGAAAACTACTCAAATCATGGGTAATTTTGATTGGGAATTGAATCTAATTTCAATATCAGCTTTTCCTTTTTCATTGTGGAATCACCTCATGAATTTTTTGTTTACGTGGTGTTTCCACAAACTAAAGCTGGCATTGTTACTTGCCATGCAAAACTACAATATCGATTAATCTAATCTGTTTTAAGAAACTTTAATGATGTGAACTGGACTTCTGTAAACTAATTTCCTTATGTCATTTCAAAAGTTTGCGCAGGAGTATAAGAAGGTGCATTACCTCTGGAGCCAATGTTCCACCGATCTTTGTAAAGCTTCAGAGTTTTCCTGTTGAACAGAAACGCCATTCCAATGTACAATCCTTGTAAACAAACAAAAATAACAAACAAGTATTGGAATGCTTCTACGTTGGGAAACAGCACGCCAATGAACGCAATCAGCCATGGAAATCCGACCAGGGTTGCAAGTTTTGCGCAGATGAGAAGGTTTTGTTTTCTTTCCTGGCGTTGGAAGGTCTGAGGTCTTTCCTTGTCATGACGATATAAACTGAGTGCTGTACGGATGAAAGTGACGATATTAAAAAGCAGTAATACAGCCAGGGGAAGTAAGAATAAATACAACTTAGCGTTTACATTTCCCAACCAACAATTTGTTCCATAGTCCACTAGAAATGTTTCAGTTTTGTCCAAAGTGACACAAATTGCGACAAATATGGCAGGCGCTAGCCACACGAATGCTGAATACTTGATAAACCTCCGCCAAGATTTGTTGGCAACTCTTCCAGCGAAAGGCTGCGAGAAAACATAGCAAGAATGGTAGGAGATGACGGACATTGCTAAGAACGATACATGAAAAATATAGTGTTCCAAGATCGCCAAAACTGTGCATGTTTTTGTTCCCGTGAAATGACTGGTCCCTATCAACCATATGAGATGTGACAGCAACATCGACAAGCTTAAATTCATTAAATTCATTCCAGGAACTGTTCTTAATTGTTGGAACAATCCATAAGTTATCAAAAGTAATATTAAGCAAATACTTGAAACGGTGAAACCAATTAATGTCAGGGTCCGTAGCGCGTAACTTGTCGTGTTCGTACTGTATTTTATTTCAGTTTTGTTAAAGGTATTTTTAAACGGTAAACAAACGATGATCATTGAATCACTTGATAAAAGAGAATTCTGAGTTATATTAGAAGTGTTCCTAGTCCCTTTGTTTTCGCTCATTAGATACTCGCCAAAATTAAAAACACTCCCAGTTGCATTGTGATAAACTGTCAAATTAGGGAAAATCACGTATTCTGCTGGTCTTAAAGGCACGAATGCACCATCGCGACAATTTGGAAAGCCCAGTTTAGGATACAATGTAGTATATTTTTTAACTGAAGGTGTAAATGGTGTAAATGCTTTTTGTGTAGCATTTACACTTTCATTTTCGTCGTGTTCTTCAACTGAAATACAATTTTCAGGTGAAAATGTTTTTCTTGTATCATTTACACCCACGCTTTCATTTTTGTTCTTGATTTCGTATTCACACTGAAGCTTCTTTTTGTCGTAGACGTAGTTCGATAACCGTTTCGAAGTCACTTTGATCACAAAGAAACAGATTTCTTTCCAAGACAGGGTAAAGCTTCTTTTAAAGTTTAAAAGTTTTAAGAAGGCAGTGTTGTGGTTTTTATAATTTAAGATAGACCTGTGTTGGTTATTGTGTACTAGTAAGCTCTGACATGGCGTCAATGTTAAACGAAATGTTGCCACGAGTGGAACATTACGCCGTAAATTACGGCTTTGCTTGTGGAATGTGATTTGTGAAATTTGATCGTCTTGTAGTGAAAGCCGAGAAATTAACGCTGATACTAACTCATTTTCTAGCTTTGAACTATTCACCGTCTTTTCTCCAGACTTTGTAAACCATAATAGTATCAAGAACTCGTTTTTTTTCTCACCACGACGAAAAATATACGATATAATGCGACAGAACATTAGGTAGGGATCGTAAACCGTACCACGGGGACATTCGTTCAGGACTTTAGTAATTTTTTTTATTCTAGTTGCTTTTCGGCTCAAGCTGAACACCATGTAAAATGCTTCAGGGTAATCCGTGTGTGCAGGATTAAGTGCTCCATCAAAAGAGTCTATCCCATGATAGCCGTTACATATCGCACATGCCCTGTTCTTAAAGTAATGGCCACGCCCAACGACTTCAATAGAACCTTGAACACAGGCCTCGTAGTATGAAGTGTTTGTTAAACTACAGTTGTCTGCATAATTTTCCCTTCCATAACAATATCTTCGAGGTTGACTTCTGCTGGGAACAGGCAAAATGCTACCCCCGTTCTCCTTAATAAATCTTAGCCTAGCATTCAGATCGAAGTCCTCGGGAGGTGTGACGTTTGTTGAAACATGAACGTCCCACGGTGTGTAATGTTTCACGCGATTACACAAAGCACAATACTGATTCCGATACGTCAGGGAATTCGCTCCTTCCACCGGAATAATGTCCTCTACGAGGTACGAGAATTCCGATGGGGCATTTTCACATCTTGTTCTCAGCTCGCCAAAAGGCCAGTCTGCTGCACATTTGGTAATCATCCAAACTCCATTCACTTCCTTAATGCGGGATTTACTCCAGTAATTGCTAACGCATTTCCACATGGTTGTTTTAGTTTCAAGGAATTTCTGTCGACCACATTGCTTTTCATAATCAGGACAGCAATCAGAGAAAATTTTATAGCAAGCTTCGTCGCAGTAACAGTCGAAGTAAGTTTTATATTCCGTGTCATTGCCTGTACATCGAGAATCGTCACACGTACCAGTAAACGACGAATATCGACGAACTCGTTCGTGGTGAAGCCATCCCGACTTGTCTGTGAGATTAATACGGTTCAATGTCATCGATGGGTTATGCGGTTTTGAGGTACAGGACACGAATACATATGTTACCAAAAGGAGCAATCCCAGAAAGCTTTTACACAAGATCGCTTTTGGTAGATCCATATTGGCCATTGTTTTTATCATAAGCTTTTACTCCGAATGCAAGCCAACATAATGTGGTTGAAAACGGTTACGAATCAGTTAAATAGCGGAATGTCCGTGCGGTATGGCATGCAATATGAATGCGGAATGGCACGCGAATGCAAATTTTGAGACCATCTTAGGCAACTTAGGGGCCGATTACATGGAGCATTTTCAACCCCGGGGTTGAACTCAGCCCTGTTTACCGGGTTGAAATTTCAGCCCTGTCTGTAATACAAAACTCGATCAAAATCAAACGCGCGATTACATGACAAAATTTTCAACCCAGGGCTGAGTTCAACCCAGGGCTGAAATTATCATGAGTTATTCGAGCATGCGTGGTAGTGACTATTTATTACAAGAAAACAAAATAAAGGCTTTTTTTACTTCCGCGAATCGATGCCGAGAACGTATAGTATAACGTTTCAACCCCGGGATTGAAATCGTCCATGTAATCGCAAAAAATTTCAACTCGGTTAACAGGGCTGAGTTCAACCCCAGGGTTGAAAATGCTCCATGTAATCGGCCCCTAAATATTGCAATGGTAAACACAGCTCTATTACAATTATTACACTTCTGCTGAATTCAAATTCAAATTTGAGGTAAAATCCCCCGACACTTCCCCTCCTCCAATCTCCGGATGCTTCGCTACGTCGCTATCATAGATATCTTATATACACTAGATAGCGCATCTCTTTCAGTAAAATTGAAGCCAAGAATATTCCAGCGGTTACCCCCATTTGAATAGATGGCGGCCATGTTGGTCGTTCCCACTTGCTAATAAACGCTTAAAAACAACAATGACTTTCATCATTTGAATATTTTAAAAACGAATTTGGAATAGGGTTAACTTAATGTTTAAGTTCCCTGTTTAAGAAATAGAAAACAGACGAATCTTCTAATTTCATGGGAACGACCCGAGACTGCAATCACGGCTTCAATTTTTAAATTGCAGAATAATTAGATGCACTATCTAGTGTATATAAGATATCTATGGTCGCTATACGTGGACGTTATATATCACAACCACACGCTAACTCGTAAAACAAATTGAATTAAAGTGGTAACAAATCCAAAAGTAAAACGTGAATAACATTAAATGGCACTGTCATCAAAATTTTTATTTTCTTAAACGAAAATGCTCTTAAAACTGTATAGTAACTTGTTTTGAAGATTTTTGTTTCCATGCTTAGTTTTGTATATAATGAGGTATCAGTAATTGTTGTGTATATTTGCTATTTTTTATCAAAATCTTTCGAAAGATGCGCCGCGTTTGTTAACTTAACCTACATCATTAAGCATACTGTTTTTTTTAAACAAATCCATTAAAAATAGCAAAAATACACAACAAGTACTGATATCTCATTATATATGTAATTGAGTAAATGACGTCACATGGTTAAAAACAAAATGAAATATCTCAAGAACAAAGCATGAGAACAAAAATCTTCAAAACCTTGACATACCAGACATATGGTCGTTTTACCTCAAAAGGTTGCCACAACATCCAGTTTCATCCAAGAGAAATAATCAGGTGCTGAGGTAAAACGACTATTTCTGCTCTAGATCTATCTATATATGATATCGAGCATTTTTTGGCATTCCGTGCACCAAACCACATTCGTATATATGCTAGTATATGCTCCACTTATGACAGGTAAATGTAAAATGCAAAATGACCGTTTGGAATGCTGTTCTCGGAGCTCCAGAACTGTATTTCTTGCGTTTTCTGAAGCGAATTCGCAAACGAATTACGACCCTATTGCACAAGTAGTTTGATTTTACAAAATATAACCGGAATATATTCTATTACAAAAAAGGTTACCAGGAAATGTTAAAATTTTAAAGCTGCATGAATATCTGTGCGGAATGGCATGCAAAATGGTTTGCGGAATAAACACAGTTAAGAAATTAATATCTTAATTGTTGTAAAGAGAAATAGTCTACTGGCTAAATAAGTAATATAAGTAAAGGTTAGCGTAGCTGCATGATGTAATAGACCTTTCCCCTCATGAGTGACATTTTGATCTAGATAAATCTAGACAAAAATTTCATCACAGCTTGAAAGAGCATCACAAAATTAGTAATATTCCGAATTAAGTTTCGTTGCGAAATGTTGTAAAATGCGGATAATATAGCCTTGCGAAGTTTGCCGTTTTTCAGCATTTTGCATTACAAATGGGAAATTGATAATCAGATGATCAAACTGATTATCAATTTCCCATTTGTAATACAAGGTAACTGAAAAACGGCAAACTGCACAAGGCTATTATCCGCATTTTACAACATTTCGCAACGAAACGTCGGAATATTACTAATTTTGTGATGCTCTTTCAAGCTGTGATGAAATTTTTGTCCAGACTTGTCTAGATCAAAATTTCACTCAAAAGGGGAATGGTCTGTTGGTCACTGCATGAAAAGCCCCAATAGGGAGTGAACTGTATAATGCGTGTATATAGGCATGTAGGTAATAGCATTTAAACGCAAATTTCGAGACATTCTGCATGAACTCAAACCCCAGTCCTAACCGCAACCCTAACGCATATCGCACTCGTTCATCAACGTGCCATTACGCACAGTTATTCTGCCTTTTACATTTACCTGTCATAAGTGGAGCATATATTAGCATATATATATTAAGCGTCCGTTATCGAAGTCTGGTATATATCAATGACCTTAACATGTGCATGCTTAATGTTATGTATGTTTTACTTTTGGATTTGTTACCAGTTTAAATTCATTTTACACCTTTGTCCGTCTTTGTTTTGGTGAAACCACCCCAATCTATCTGTGAGATTAGTGCGGTTAATTAATGTCTCGGGATCATTCTGGCATTCCCTTTCAGATTATGCTGTGTCGAGCTACTACAGACCAGGCCCGTAACTAGCTACTGAGGCGAGCAAAGAAAATTAATTCAAATGAATAGAATTTATTGATTATTGTGTTGAAGGGCAGAAGTATTGGTTAGCGTCCCAAATGGTACTACAAACACTTTTTTTTCACTTTGCACCTGATCATGTTGGGCCAAGAATATTTGTAATGAGTCATTGTGCCATTAGGAAATAGTGTTTATAAAATTAAACATTTTCTTGAATAGCATGACCCCAGGTTTCCCTACGGCGTGCATGGTTACCGAAAAAAGTAATTAAGCCAGGAGAACGTTTACACAAGATCGCTGTTGGTGGGTTCATATTGGCTATATGCTTTCTGTCATGAGCTTTTACTTTGAATGCAAGCCAACATTATATGGTCGAGCGCCGTCACAAATGGGTACTTGTCATAAGTGAGTGAACGTAAGAGGTGGAATGTCCGGGCGGACTAGCATGATGATAAAGCTAGCATAAAATGTCTCTGATAACATTTCGTGCAGCCGTCTTAAGTTCTGGTGAATAATCTTTGCCGATTCGAGACGCCTTGTCTTCAAAATAGACAGCCGAGGGCGCCAGTTAATTCGAACAAAATATTATACGTTTTCAAGATATTTATTGCCAAATGACCTAAATTTTCACCTTGGACATTGGTCATCTATATATTTATATGTGTGTATATATTATTTGGTCAAAACGGCCGAAGAATTGGTCAAAATAACCCAATTTTTGGTTGTTTTAACCGGTAAGATATTGGTCAAATAAGGCACATTTCTTCTCAGAACGACCCATACACCACACACACCAAAAATCATATTTAGACTTAGTTGAATTTTAATTTCTTTGTCCCTCTAGATGCAACAGAAAAGACACTGAACAACTGTTCTTCAATTTTGGAACGTGGTGCTAGTTTTGCTGACTCGGCGTATGGTACCGATGACCCTACCCTGGGTGATACAATCTCACTGACAGATTATTATAGTGATCCGTTCTCTTCCGCTCTGACTCCTGTCAAAGATTTTGGTGGTAGTCCAAGTAAGAAAACAACAGACCAGCTGCCAAAACGTATGTATTTATAATCTTTTACCAAGTTCATTTATCAAATTTTGTTGTGTGTCAAATCTTATGTATGTACTATTTAAAGCAGCTGATAAAGCACGATTACAAGTGCGTTATTGGCGGAGTAATTTTAGGCAGAGAAAAGTCTAAGCAAAGAAAATCAAAGCTAAATTAACATACTTTTTATCACATATAAAACCACCAACACGTCAGAGATATCCTTTGTCTTTTCCTCATGAACTATTAATTTAAGTTGAGTTTACAGTACGTCATGATTCGATCATTCACCATTTAATTATCATGTAATAAGTCAACATATCAGTACAGAACAATAGTGGCTACGAAAACAGTAAACATTTCATTCGACGTTTCGACTAGACTTTTAATCATTCCTGATGATGATCAAAATCATAGATACCTTATATACACTAGATAGTGCATCTAATTGTTCTGTAATTCAAAAATTGAAGCCGTGATTGCAGACTCAGGATATTTCCATGAAATGAGAAGATTCGTATGTTTTCTATTTCTTAAACAGCTGGGAACTTAAACATTAAGTTAATCCTATTATAAATACATTTTCAAACTATTCAAATGATGAAAGTTATTGTTGTTTTTTAAGCGTTTATTAGCGAGTGGGAAACTCCAACATGGCCGACATCTATTCAAATGGGGGTAACCGCTGGAATATTCTTGGCTTCAATTTTACTAAAAGAGATGCGCTATCTAGTTTATCTAAGATATCTATGACCAAAATCGGTGGCGATGCTAGCCATAGCAACAGGTCATGCATGCTATGCAAATTTTTAATGATTTGCATTATTCAAACTGTTAGAAATGTATTGTGTTTATAACCTATGTAGATGCATCTTATTAGCATAGCATGACCAGTTGCCATGGCTAGAATCTAGCTTCGCCACTGTCTAAAAGCTAGTCGAAACGTCGCATAAACACTTTTCAAAATGTTTAGCGTTTTCGGAGTTACTATTTGATTAAAATACTCAGCGGTTCCCGCAATTTCCAACATAATTCAATTAATCTGCCAATAATTTAATAATCTACTAATATATCAAGGACTCGATCAATGAATTGTTAACTGACTGTATAGTCAACATGAGTGTCAATCCCGGGGGGGCAACTCCCCCTCCCTACCTACTATTTAGGGCAGAATGCAGATACTATAATCCTACCATGTATATTAGATACTGTTTATGAAGTTTAATGAAATTTAATTCATGAAAATTTTAGCTTTTTTCCACCAGAAATTTGTCATATAATATTTTCGATGCTTGTTTGCTTGTGAAGTTCCCAGCTTACATAATGCACTATTTTCTAAGTGTTGTTGGATCTAGACGATGATTTACACCCAGAACAGAATCAAACAGTGGAGCATTGTCTAACCCCTCCACTGGAAGACCCGAATGAAACTGCCGTTACCGAAGACACCCTTGTTTTGGAGTTGGGCCAAATTTCCTCATTTGAAGAGGAAACTGAACCCCGAGAGTTGCAAGACAACCTGTCCACATCACGCCTCGACTTTGAGAAAGAAGAGCACAGCCTTAAACGATCATTTGAAGACCAAGAAGATGTTGTTATCCTCGATCCAGTTGAAATCACCCCAAAGAAAGTCCAATCCTCCAGAAAAAGACTCAAACGCAAACTTCTTATCGATGATGTGATATCCATCGACCGCGGGGTTATTTTTGATAACTTAAGTAACCCATCACGGCTTCTTAAATCGCCAGTCGTTGCTGCAAGCACAAAACAACGGATGAAACAAAATGAACGTAACCAATCTCTTTTATCCAATAGTTCGTTTCTCGAATTGTCACCGGCATTAGATAAACTTCTTCTCGACTCGAAATCTCGGAAATTTTCAACTTCGACTGACGTTTCTGGTGAAACAGTTCATCTACAGCCAGCAGGTGAACAAAAGCGTGAACTAAGTCAAACGGGTTTTGAAAACAACGAAGACCTGTTTGGTAACGATTTTGACATGAACGATGGCAGCCTTAAACAGGACGAACTTGATTTGTCTGAGCAGTTTATCCCGTTACAAGATGTCGAATATTCGTCCGACGAGGATTGCCTGGATGGGAACAGGTTCGAATATGGCACGAATGAATTTGACTTTGATCCAGATACTTTAACTACGGAAGAACAGATGGAAGAAACACTTACAGATGAGAATATTTCCGAAGATAAGTTTTGTTCCTTTGTCGAAACTACGGTATTACACTCTCGTCCTGAAGCAGTTAAGTTTCAACACGTTCTTGGCAGTGATGGTGGTGGATTGACACGAAAAACGGTCGCGCGAAGATTCTTAAAATGTCTGTTGATGCAAAGAGATGCAAGACTCTGTTTAGAACAGGATGGAAGTTTTAAAGAGATTTTACTTCATCCTGGACTGAAACATATTTCGGAAGAAGCTGTTGGTGAGATTTAGAAAGAATTTTAATAAAAGGTGGAAGACATGGAGTTTTTAGGGTATTCGAGATTTGGCAACGAATGCTAGACTTTTCCGCCAAAAGTAAGCTCATAGTAGAATCATGGATAATAAAATAAATGGATAGGAAACTAGCTGACGTGACCTAATGTTTTCAATGGGCTGATGGCGTGACTGGATGTTGAAACCTAGTTGCAAACCAAATTCTCAAAAACGGCATGTTTAGCAATAATACAGCTAAACATTTTTGTCAAAGAGCAAATGAATATAACTACGCCATTCTACGATGAAATCTCTAAGTATTCCCAGTCAATTTTAGCAAATATTTCAAGCACTAAACAGTGAAAAAGGCATCCCAAATTTCGTTAAAATTGGGGACGCCAATTCCGTAGCTACAAATGTAAAAAAATACAAAACAAAGACGAAAAACATTTACCTTGAATGCTTTGTCGTGGCTTAGGCATGTTTTTAAAACAATTAGACCGGTTTATGCTTTATTATTGCTCTTTTAAGGCGGACAATATAGCGAAACAACAAAAATGCAGAGAACTTTGCAATACGCGTGACGTCACAGATTACAACTAGGTTGTTTTTGCTTACGTCAGCGAGAGTCCTATCCATTTATTTTATTATCCATGGTAGAATTAACATCATTCAAATGTTTAACAACAAAATTGCATACCATAGAAATTTGATTCAATGATTTGATTAGTTAATAAAATCAGCTTTTGTTCATTGTATATGGACCATTTCTGGGTCCGGTTGTTCAATCTCGATTAGTGCTAACCCTGGATTAAAATTGAACCTGGTATTTTAGTTTGTATATCTCTGCACGTTTGTTTATTTCAAAAGTTCATTAGACAAGCTGTCGAGAATTTTGCGTGAAATCAGGGACGAAATTAGCCCCTTTTAATTGACCATTTGCGTAATAAACTAAATTTTGATCTCAACAAGTCTAGACAAAAATTTCATCACAGCTTGAAAGAGCATCACAAAATTAGTAATATTCCAAAGTTTCGTTGCGAAATGTTGTAAAATACGGATAATTATAGCCTTGCGAAGTTTACCGTTTTTCAGTCATTTTCTATTACAAACGGGAAATTGGCAGCCCTAAAGGGTATCGGGCTGTCAATTTCCCCCCACGTAATGCAAAATTACTGAAAAACGGCAAACTTCGCAAGGCTAGATTATCCGCATTTTACAACATTTCGCAACGAAACTTTGAAATATTACTAATTTTGTGATGCTCTTTTCAAGCTGTGATGAAAATTTTGTCTAGACTTGTTGAGATCAAAATTTTGTCTACTACGCAAGTGGTCAATTAATTAAGGGGGGTCTGGCAGAATTGCCCTGCCAAAATCAATGATGCCCTGTAGCTATGTGTATAATTGAACTGCCGATGCCAATGTACATTCATACGAAATCTTAGGTTAACGTGGGATTAATCTAACCGGCTTTTGAACAACCGGGTCTAGGTGCATAGTTTTGGTGGAAAATCTTGCATTCATTGTCTGATCCCCGTAGTACTGCTGCTCATAAAGACAAAGAACTACGGACGATGCACCTTCGTTTGTTGAAAAAAGAACATCAGATGCACAAGAGAAAAACATTCATAGACTCGAGAATTTTATACATTTATACTCACAGATACATCATGTGTTTTGTGCCTTTACACCAGAATTCAGAAATTGATTGCTTCCTGGCCACTGCGAGGCATCCTAGACCCAGGCCTTCAATACGAATCATATTTTAGCAACTTCAGCGCTTGGCTTGCTGGCTATTTTACCATCACGGCATAATTAGCTACTGATAAACTCCAACTATTTAATATGTCCGCTTTAATTTGGCCAAGTGCGGGTGTGACGTCACCAGCAATCTCAACGCCCAAAAATGGCTGGATTCTGTTTGTGAAGGCACAAAAACCTTGATAACGGCACAAACTGGTTGTAAATATTTTACAGTTTTTATTTAAATATTCATGTTACGTTCGCAATGCAGAAAGAACTGCTAAATCATATTGTTTGTTCGGTTTGCTTCTCGTTGTATATTTTGCATAATTCGCGCCTGAGTAACCGAGCCTGCGTTTCTATGGCGGCAGGATATGGCGAGATCCCTCTGGCGAGATCCCGGCACTCGCAGATCGGGCGCGAAAGAAAGGCGGGCAACGAGAAATATTCGCCACGCATGCTAGCACTCTCTGACTAGTTGTCTTATTCAAGTCTCAAGAGGCAAAACCATTAGACTTCTATAATAGCTGTCGCCGTTTCGAAGTAACTCGACAAGCCCAGAATTGAAACAGGCCCCTGACCTATTCGGAATAACTTCTGAACTTAATCCTGACCCTACCTTTTCCGACGAGTCTTCGATGTGACGTGACAGTTTTTCCCAATAACAATGGAACGCAAAGACAAAGTCGTTTTTGTTGTATTTTTTTATCATTTTTACAATAGAATCATTTTTTTACATCAGTAATTTGAACTTTTCTTATCTCTATCACTAAATCTAGAGTTTCTGGAAATATAAAGACTTTATTTTATATAAGTTTCTTTTGTGCAGACAACAGTAAGGTTTTTTCACCATGAAATTTTCAACCCAACATAGCGGTCAGCGTTCAACACAATGTGCATGCTTGTAAATCCATTTAGAAGTTGCGATATTTTGCAAAATCAGTTGGCCATGCAATTCACAAAATAAATTTTAGAATTAACTGCGAGTACGTCTAGTAAGGTCTGAGGAAAAGGGTTTTCCTTGATAAGTTTTATTTGCTGGTGTGTGCGGCAAAAAATTGACATTTTCTGTGCCAAGGAGCCGTGTTCCAAAGCTAATCATGCCGGCTTTTGGACAAGGAAAAATTCATTCATGTGTCAAAGAAAACTGGATAAGTGTAAAAGAAATACTTCTGTGGTTTTGGCAAACAAAACGCGGTCTTGCGCTATATTTTGCCGTGTCAGACTGTAGCAAGCTGGCGAAACTTGTACCCATGGTGGTACCATAGAAAAGATAGATATATTTTATTTCTATTAGTCGTACTCGTGGGCAAATCTATAAAGCTCTTAAATATATTGTAGACTCCAACATTCATATTTACATGACATTTTACCGTCGTTGCAATGGAAGTGTTGATAAAATATCGCATCAATTCATTACTTAGAACTGATCAATTCATTCGTTGAAAAATTGATCAACTTCCTGTGTGTTTGAATCAACCAATGGCTTTGCGTTTCAGTGAATGATTGACCAATTGGGAACAAGCATGCCAGTAAACAGGAAGTTGATCAATTTTCTATCAAATGAATTGATCAACTTGAGGAAAGGAATTGGTGCAATATTTTATCAACACTTCTATTGCATCGACAGTAACAGAGTAGTTTGTTACACAAGACATATAGGACACACCAAGGCAGCACGGCAGAATTATTTTCGTCTTGGTGATAATGAATTTGATACGAACTTGCGCTGCCCAAAATAATATCTAGTTAAAAATACGAGCGCTTTCCGACAAAATGCCAAACGTGTTACAAAGCAGTACTGCCTGTATCTTAATCTCAGTGAAAATTCGCATGGAGTTCGAGGGTAGGACAAAAATAGTTTTGCCGTACTCCTAATGGTATAAAGCATATGCGATATTTGTGTGCAAGCTTTTTTAACGTGCTTATTATACATTAGCTTACTCTATCTTCTGTAAGTGCGTGCAACTTTTACAAGAGCGTGTGCCAATCATTGGCCTATATTCCACACACACACGCGCCATCTCTCAGGGGAAGGGTTCCTCAACAGTTATACTGTTGTGCTTGATGAGCCTGGCCCAGCACCACTTGCGGGCTTGCTTGGTTTAGGACTCACATGTTTGATGTGTCTCTACAGAAAAGAAAACATGCGCAAATGTTACACAATAATAGGCATGATGCATTCAGAAGCAGATGTACTACAGCTTAGATTCTTGGCTGACAAGTCGAGTCGTTGGCAATAAGATAATCTGATGGCTTTACGTTTGGACACCTTCAAAGTCTGGATCGGCTAGGAAAAATTTCTTTACGGGAAACTAATCAAACTATTCTATTGCGTTATGTTTGACTGTACTGTACAAAACTGCATTACTATACTGTATGGTACTATACTGTATGGTACTGTGCTGTATGGTACTATATATACTGTATGGTACTGTACTGTATGGTACTGTACTGTATGGTACTGTGCTGTATGGTACTGTACTGTACTGTATGGTATTGTACTGTATGGTACTGTACTGTATGGTACTGTACTGTTGTATGGTACTTGTACTGCGCTGTATGGTATGGTACTGTACTGTACTGTACTGTATGGTACTTGTGCTGTGCTGTACTATGCTTGTTGCTAGTTTCACACAATCGTTTTCTAAAGTACGAAAGTAATCCTTTTGTACTACATCGCTAATTCGTTAAAGGGCAATGACAGTGATGTAGCAATAAACTTTTGTTGCTAAATTCCAAAATTCTGGACTGACAACCACAGCAGATTTGTTGTGAAGACTGTATTGACTATCTCATTACGTGAAGTATAATTATCTTACCCCTGTTGGTGGAGAAGTTCCCATGGTTGGCAGGCTCTGTGATGTCAGACTGCTGGTGGACGAGTGGAGACTGGAACGAGGTGATGATGAAGAGAAGCCAAAGGCTAAATAACCAACTAAGACATTAAGGTATGCCAGAGCATAGACAATCCAGAAGACATGTCTTCTGGATTGTCTATGGCTATAGTCACTAAATACTATGTGCTATTCCACAAAAACAAATCGTTTAATAGTTCAGAGAATCTATGAAGAAATGGTCAATACTAATGAAAATACTTTTTATGACTTGGTTATGGATATATTCAAATTTTTATTTTTTTTATGTTTCTCAAGCGACAAGTATGCCGTTGTGCTTTATCTGTAAAATTTCGCTAAAATGAAGAGATTTTAGATGGTATGCCAAAGAGAAAATGATGTCTGAAGTTCAGTGGGGTCTGTTTATATTGCTGTATAAATATGGCGTCAATTTTGCAGCATCAATTAATGATAACTGTATTTGACAATATTTAACTAAATATTATTTTGGGTTTTTCAACCGCCAGATACATTTAACAGGTTGTTAACTGTGTAAACTACAAAATAAAGCTAAAACAAAGTAACTTTGAGAGGAACGCCAAAACGATTTTAGGCTTTGAACACCTCAAATCTTCGGACTTCAGTGAATCAAAGCACGAACTGGCCCTGTTCTCAGTATTCAGAATGTTTATTGCTTACTGACCTGGCGACAACGATCTTGTTCGTTCACGATGTCCATACTGTGTTGTGCTGTACTCGTTAAAATGTCTAAATAGAAATATACAGTTGATAAACTTCATAATTAAGAAAATAATGGCTGCTAAAGCTTCAGTGTTCAATATATAACAGTCGGCTATCGCCAATTTTCCAAGCAAAACGCCAATACGGCTGTCTAATGATTGCTCTGAAACGGACATTCACATTAATTTGAATAGTTTCTCCCTTATTCTTGCAAAACCAAAACACAATCTCTTACTATTCTGTTACATGTGCAAAGAAAGTTATTACTTAGTTAGAATACACTATATAAACTACGATTTGTCATCTAAAATTCCTTTCATCTTTGTAATGCTGTTGAGGTATTAACTAATATTTACTCAAATTTCGTATTCAAGTGAAATAATTACAATGCAAAGTACTGTACAGCTTTTCTCTTTTGAGATCTACAAATAATTAGTGTCTGATGACATCCAAGCAAAGTGGGTTGGTCTGTCACTGAAGTCTGCTAAGGTTAGGATTTTCCCTCGATACCTTTCATCCTCCATTTCCAAACTGGACTCGCTTTCAGACAATTGTCTTCCTAAGTTCTCTCTCCTCTCCTGCTCCAACAGAAGTCGTCGTTGAAGACGAATATTTTCCTCCTTGAATTGACGTTCCTCTTTTTCAAGTGCGGCCATCCTTTCTACATCTGTATAGGAAACAACAGTTTGTCAATAGACGATTCCCATTAGAGACTAATTTTAAAACTAGGCAAGGAGATGCAAATAAATCACCACGGCTAGAAAGAGCATACTAATATGAGTAAAATTGCAAAGTTTGGTTGCGAAATGTTGTAAAATGCAGAAAATCTAGCCTTGCAAAGTTTGCAAATTTTGTATACTTTGGTATTGCGTGCGGAAATTGTTACCATTTTCGGCCCAAATTTTAATCCAGAGCTTGGAATGTCCCTGTATTCTGTAAGGATGGGCAGTTCTCTCCGTCGTTTTACATATATACAGGGTTCGTATACAAAACCTGAAAGGCCTTGGCCTTGAATGTCCTTAAATTTGAAAATAAAAATTCAAGGACAAGGCCTTGAATGTCTTGGAATTTGTAAAGAAGTACTTGTGAACAGAACTTTAAACAGAAGAAAGTCTTGCTTTAGTTTATGGCTATTTTCTGAAATTGTTTGACATTCAAAAACGGACATATTGTTGAATTGATTCTGCACGCTCATATCTGACAAAGCTGTTTGAAATACATTAAAGTTGCGTTTTGAACAAATGAACGTGACACTGATTTCTAACGCCTTCTCCTCTTCAGTATTTAGTCCTTGAATTTGCTGATACATGGCCTTGAATATCCTTGGAAAGTCCTTGAATTGGACTCTCTCTGTCTCTGACATGTATGAACCCTGGATATATGTTTTTACAATTATTTCCAACTAGTAATAGAGTATAGTTCTAAAACATTTTTATTATTTTTCCATATTTTGAACAATCCAACGCTCGAACATGTCATACTTACGCTCTTTCTCAGATGCAATCAGTTGGCTTCTCAATCTTCGCACTTCATCTCTGAGGGATCTGATTTTCGACGTCATGGTCTTGATGGTGAGGTCATTGGGGTCATCAAGATCTTTGGGAGATGGGGGCTCTGACACAGGCTCTTCTAACCTCTCTTGAAGATGTCTTTTATAACATATTTGAAATAAAATAATTTTGAATGTGTGAGAGTCCATCAAGTGAAATCTGCCAACTGTGGCAGAAGACATGTACCAAGGAACTGCTACCTTTTCTGGGATTCCAGTCTTTCCATTTTCTTCCACAGCCTGTTGACAAGAGATTCCTGTTCTTGTTCCAAGGTGTTCTCAAGGTCTACTTTCTCTTTTCTTAACTACAGCAGAGAAAGAATCCGAGAGACTAAGCTACTCATTTCAAATATCCAAATTCAAATATCTGTCTATATCCAGTTGCAATCTCAATTCCTGAGGTTGTTTGTACGAAAAATCTGGTTTTTCAAGCTTTCGAAACATGGCTGTTGATTGCTACAACCCAGACTGTACTTTAGTATTTATAAATTAAAGATGAAACTTTATTAATTGTGAGCTCTGTATCCATTGTTTTGAAAAACCAACCCTACCACCCACCTGTTCAAGACAGCTTTGCTTTGAGACAACATCGGCTTCTAATCTTTCAATCTTCCTCATCAGTGTGTTCACTTGAAATTCCTGCTCTTGTTCGAGTGTCTGTTCCAGCTGAAATTTCTCTTGTCTTAACTAAACAAAAACGTTTTAAACATCTATTTTCATAATAACCACCATATTTAACCCACAGAGCAGCAGCACTCTCCCCCCTGACGTGTAAAATCGTCTGAAAAGTAGAGCGCATCTGGGCACATCCGCACATTGTCACTTAAAGGATTAACAGGGTGCATAGGCAGATAGTCTGATTAACTCATTGAGTGGCAGCACTCTCCCCCTGACGAGTAAAATCGTCTGGCGTTAGGCAGAGTAAAATAATAAAGTAGGGGGCATCTGGGTGCATTGCCTCTCAAAGGTTTGATCATGTCAAATTGTTTATTTCATGGCTCGAGTAGTTTGTGCCTGCCCTTTGTATCCCAATATTGAGATATTGTGATTTACATGTGCTCAGAATTTCATTTTCACATTGGCAGTGCACTTGACTAACTTTCAAAACATAAAACACCGTGCAATTTTATTAAACATGTCCAAGATTTCAAGATGAAGCCTTTGTGCTCAGCTCCAAAATTAATTAAATTACACGAAAATGTTGTTTTTTTCTGGTGAATAGTAACTAATGTTTGACCGGCAGAATTTTTTACTTGACCAACATCATGACCATCAAGTTTCTGTAATTATTTGCAGCGCTGGTATCCGTTAAATGCTAAAAGACTTGACATGAAATCCTTGTTTTGAACTTACTTGCATCAGTTTTCTGGACAAGTCGTTGGTCAGAAATTCTTCTTCCTGCTCATAATTCATAGCTAACGATTCTTTTTCTTTCTTTAACGATTGAATCTTTTTCATCAACGTATTAGATATAAATTCCTCTTCTTGCTCTGCTTTGACTTGCTATTAGTGGAAATAAATATGTATCCTTGGGGGCTATGGAATTTTGGGGGAGGGGGCAATTGCCCTTGTGTCCTGTTACACCTATCGCCAGGCTGAATAAACATGCTGCTTTTATAGCAAAACCACAAAGGCAATAGCGTGAAAGAAAAATATATCAAAATAATACAATGGAATAAAATGTCAAACTATGTATACAAACAGCCTACACATATATTCCAACCCACTTTAATTTAAGATTGGATTCCTGTACATTTGCCAATGAAATCTTATGGACACATGCTATGCCAATAGCATGTTTTAATAGCCATTAGGATGACGAATCCAACTATATTATTGTTGTTAAATGGGTTATTATAATCAATACACAGATGTTTAGAAAGAGTAAAGCCCTATTAGTGCTAATGGCAATAGTGCATTTATTATTTATAACATATTAGAGTTCCAATATTATATTGTTGTCTGGTCAAAGTCTGAGTCTCTGAGATGAAGGCAAAAACAATACAAAATTAGGCCTGTTTTGGAACTATTTTCCAAAGTTCGTTGATGTACCCAACTGCCTAAAAAATAACGAAACATCTTGAACACAAGGCCATTCATATTCTGGCATATTTAATCGAATAAGCATGCTTAATTAAAGTGGTTGTATTTCAAATTTCGCCATAAACCAAACGAGCAGGATTTGTAATGGCAGCAGTAATTTTCATACATCAGAATATGAATTGTACATGATAAATTGTAGCGGGTAAATGTACCTTAAACAAGTTAGCTGGGTATCAACCTAACGTTTTTTGAAACTCCTAAGAGGAATGGGAACGTGGGTGTTCTATATATCCCCTCCCCCTCCTCGACTGCTATCATAGACACCAAAATCGCAAATGAAGATGTTTTGCCTTCCATTCAGTACAATGGACATATAAGTAGATGAAAACTCTGGGATTCAACTTAAAATCTGTCTATGCAGACAAACAAAATAAATTGGCCTACTTTGTACCCAAATAATGCAAGAGTCTGATGGCATGTTTTTGATAGGATATATTAAATTCAGTACTTGATAGTGTTTTTCATAGCATGTGTATTCAGTGATTATAACATATGAACAGCCTCCTTTATCTCATTGTTATGCATATCTGCCTCAAGTATTTGTCAATCTTCAAAGCATTGTTTCGAGACCCCTTTTGATTCGGCTACAGATTGATGATGAAACACCGTTATTAAATGCCGTTTTTTTAGCCCATACCCCGAACCAAACCTAATTTGAGCAAGAACATACACTATCGCTACACGCTAGCGGTGTTTGTGTCTTCTAAAAACTGCTGATTTGCAAATATTTGAAACATAATGTTGTGTAAACAGCGTTATAACATATTCCAATATTCTGCATATGGCGTGATCTTCACGAAACTTTAACGATTCCTTTGGGAAAATATATCCGATCATCGAGGCAATTTGAGCATTGAACATTCAATGTATTGTGAAGCTATTGTAAGGTTTAAAACCCTTAAAACGCCAACGAATACTTACTATATTCACGCTTGCTTTGCGAAGGGCTTTGTTTTCCTCGATTAATTGCTTGCATTTCAGTTTAAATGTTTCGAGTTCGACTGTTAAAACTCGTTTTTCTTGCAGCAACGAAGAGATCCTGTTCTTATCCACCGAGAAGCTTTCATCGGCACTCATGTCGCTGTCGCTAAAGCCAGCAGGGCCTTCGGAAGATTGGTTTGGAGAAGAGTTCTCCATATTTGTTTTTGCTTTTTTTCTTGTCGTGTGCTTTGCAGTTTGCAAAATATATGTTTCGTGACTTTGCACGCGCGAGTGATCCGCGTGCCTGGAGGAGGGGTACATAGGAGTAATTTTGAATGCGACGTGACAAAGTACCTTTCTATACCTTATTGTACCTTATTGTGCCTTATTGTACTTATTGTACCTCGTTCTAGCTTATTGTACCTTAATGTATCCTATTGTGCCTTATTGTTCCTTATTTACCTTATTGTACCTTATTGTACTCCATTGTACCTTGTTGTACCTGATTGTACCTTATTGTATCCTATAATAGTACCTTATTGTACCATATAGTACTCATGCTGTTACATTTGTGTTAAAAATCCCGCGAGCTCGAATATTTTACGATTCCCCACGTGTACCGCTCTTCTTCATCTGTCATTTGTTTGCTGATACCGTGGTCGCTTTTCAAGCAAGAATTTGTTGAAATTTCAGAGATAGACGATGTCAGATACTGTAGGAAAGGTACGAAAGTCATCTGTATGTTTTAGAGTATTTCAGAGCAACTTTAGTGCTGAATTTTGATTTGAACATGGTACATATTTAACACATCTGCCGCAGACATTTGAATGCAATTGAGATTGCGAAATGCCATTAATCTCGACAAAGTGTTAATTTATAAAATGTTACGTACAATTATGTTATGTATATACTGTACCGGTACTTATTATAAATCGTGTTGTAATATTGGTTTAATATAGGGCACACCAGTTTTATTATCTATAAACTAGGTGGCCCTACTTATATTGGCCGTTTATTATAATATTTCGAAGTGACTCGACAACCGGCACCCGGCTATTGACTAAACTGCCGGAACTGTTAAGTTTGATATTTCAACTTTGATTTCTGTCCGTGCATTTTCAATGAAATTCTACAAATGCCATGTATTTTTCATGAACTAATGCATTTATTTCGTTTATTTTGTATCAAGAACGCGCTTCATACACAAAACCACAATTTAGTAACGTATAAAATGACCGCCTGGCATTAACATACAATGCAGCCATCACCTGAATTTATACTAGACAATGGATTTCCGTCTGAGGCGGGACGGATGAGTAAATTAAGACTGGGTTTCAGCTTGTAATGGGATGGAGGGTCTCCTATTTTTTCGAGTTTTCTAGTTGCCTTGAAAAAATTGGAAAAATTTACTGAACGATTTTGCAATGTAATCCTATCAGCCATTGCAGTATTCTTGACTTCCTGTTCGTTGTCATTGGTGGATTTTTGTTAGCCAATTACAATGCACAGAACGGAACAGGAAGTTAGGAACTTATAACAAGATGTTAAGATATTCTGACAGGAATAGTTTTTCAAATTTGCAAAGGTAATGCGGAAAATTGCAATCAAGTTCGGAACTCAAAGTACCTAATTTTCCAGGTTATTCATTGCAAGGCGGCAGTTGCATGGGAAGCACAGAAACCACTTGTGATTGAAACGGTTGAGGTTGACCCGCCAAAAGCGAAGGAAGTGCGTATCCATCTGGTTGCCACGGGAGTGTGTCATACCGATGCATTCCTCGGGCTTGCTCCCAACGGGGATTTTCCGTGTATCCTTGGTCACGAAGGAGGTGGGATTGTCGAGAGTGTGGGGGAGGGAGTAACCTCTTTAAAACCAGGTGGGTATTTTTGCCAAGGTGGGTTTTTTAAGGGTCATCGATCAACAATTTACACAAGCATACAAACTTTTGCTTAGGTGATCATGTGATTCCTTGCTATACTGCTCAGTGTCGTGAATGTAAATATTGCAAGAGCGACAAAACCAACCTCTGTATTGCTATCAGGTAAGATCATATGAGCAATCGACAGCTCCACTTTATTAAAACGCCAGGAGATATTGTGTGAGATTGGGGTTATAAAAGTTGTTTATTGGATTGTAATGGAAAATTGGTTTCCAAAAAAAGCTTGGCAATGCCTAGTATCAGGGGCATAGGAAGCCTGGTTAAAAAACAGTGGTGCTGGGCAGACAAATCCTACAGTGCTTTAAAATAGAAAACATCCCAGAATTGAAATATTCATCCTCAAATGCTGAACCCATTACATTACATGAATTTGGACTCTCTAGCTTAGTTTCGACTCTCTTACTGCATCAGAATTGCAGAGCCACAGGGCATATTTAGGTGCATATAAATTTTCCTACTAACCCTGATTAGGTCTAAATTGTACCGGTATGCAAATTTACATTCATCTAAAAAAAGTCTAGCTCTGATGTACTAATAGTCCTACCGAACGAGATCCCAAAAAATCTTAATATTTACATGCAATCAACAGCGGTATTAACATAATCTGTTATATTAGAAAGGGCACAATTTGACGTTCAACTACTGCTGACAGCAATGGCTACCATGATGAGACTATTAAGCAATATATCAGATACGTTTGATATATCCAATTAAATAATCAGATATACATCCGAAGCCAGTGACAGGCAGTTGTGATGAATCTGAACCTGATGACTATTGTGTCTTTAGGGAAATGTCAGGCAAAGGTCTGATGCCGGATGGCACAACCAGGTTTAGATGTAAAGGGAAACAAGTTTTTCACTTCATGGGAACGAGTACTTTCAGTGAGTACACCGTGCTGCCTGAGATTGCCGTAGCCAAGGTGAGGAATTTTGCTGGTACTGTGTCTTGTTGACCTCTGGTATTGATTCAATTATAATGTGTGTTTCAATTGTATTTCCTCAGATATCAGAGGCTGCACCCCTGGAGAAAGTTTGCTTGCTTGGTTGTGGTATCTCGACCGGATATGGTGCCGTGGTGAATACAGCCAAGGTAGGTATCGCCAAGTTACCTGAATTTTACTTGGACTCTCAACTTGTTTCTGGGTTACCCCTTGTTCTGGATTAACCGACTGAGCGCTCTCCCCTTGACGATTAAAATTGCCTAGTCGTTAGACAAAGTAAAGTAATAAAGTATGGTAGGGCACATTGCAACTTAATGGAGTCATTCCCTAATTCTCTACATACGTAGGTTGAACCCGGATCCACGGTTGGTGTTTGGGGTCTGGGTGCCATTGGTCTTGCTGTCATCATGGGGTGTAAGATGGTTGGCGCATCAAGAATTATTGGTGTTGATATCAATCCTGAGAAGTTTGCTATTGGTAGGTTGTTGTATTGTTGTAAGATGTTGTAAGATGATGTAATAATCTTGGTTCACATTATGAAATAAGTATAAGCATTATCACAAGAAAACAGTTAAAACGATGAATTGGATAAGGAAATTGGCACACCCGCCCCCTTGCCAAGGCATGGTGTGCACCCGCCC